GTAGTTTTAATTGAAACTCCAACAATTAAGCTCACCTGAGCACTACCTTTTACATTAGCCTGCAGGACAATGGATAAGAAGAGAAAAATCTCTGGTTGGTATACCGTGGGGTGGTTTCTGTTTAGCAGGAGCATCATTATTAAACCAGTTGTTCGATGACAACAGTGGAAAGCAAACAGAAACATATTCTCCGAGCTCACGTTATTACCATCGCAATGAAACGTTTTCCGACCAGATTACAGGTGTACAGCCAGTTTTGAAAAGTATAAATGCATAATTTCTATATTTATTTTCTTGTAAAAAATATTGTGATAAAAATAGAGAGACTTAAATCTTAAAGTTTTATTGTAAAAAGTATGAATACAATAAATATCACTTCTTTAAAGCTAAAGTGCTTGTTAAATTGTTTTACAGTAAAAGCATTGTGATATATTACATTCACTTAGCTTAAAAAACAAAACAAAAACATAATACACGCGTTATACTGTGAGTCCGTGACAGCATAAAATAAAGCATTAAATTTGTTAAAAAAGAATGCAAGATAAAAAAAAAAACATGAAGGAAGGTTACACTCACGTATGTCTGACATAGGTATGGTAATAGCTACAGAGAGCACGTGGTAAACCTTCTTTAGGTCGATACGCCACCAACGTGGGTTTGCCTTCTTTATGCGCGTACAACTTTGTTTATCTGGATTTATGGCATTCTCCGGAGGATAAAGATCAATGAACGTGGAGGATGAGACATATCCAGTTAAAGGTAAAGCCGAACCTATAATTAATAAGGTTATATTTATTTACGGCACCGAAGAGACCTGTTTTAACAAGAGCAATAACTTTAGCATATTATAAGATTTTGAAAAATTTTGATCAATACGTATATATACAACACACTGACAAAATTATTTTTTCATGGAATGATACCAGACTCTCGGTGGTGTACATTTTCGTGAATACATTTCCATAATATACTGTTAAGCATCGTTCTAAAAAATGTCAGTTTTTGTCTCAAAAGAAAAGTTTGCTCACTTTTGTATATAAAGGCTTTTCCTTATATGCCTACAACAGTATCGCGTAACACTCGCTCACAAAATAATTCAATGCGTTTACTATAGTGTAATTGAAAATCTAATCATTATCAATTTATCAAGCTAACATGTTTCAATTGTAGTTTAATTAATCATTATTAACTTCTGATCTAAGCGAGCTATCTACATAGATTATCCTAATAATGAGTGTAGCTAAGTAAATATACTGTTCTTACTTATCAAGACTGCATTGTTACGATAATTTGGTCCTCTCGCTGCTAGCGATATTTTTGTCCATAATCCTAATAGTATTTCAGGAGGTTTAGCCAGCTTAAGAGATACGGATTAGTCCGAAATCAATTTACTAAGCTAGTAATGCAAAATAATCTTTGTAATAAAATAATAATAATAAAGTAAAAATAATAAATTTAATTTCTTGAAATTTTAACCAATATTTTAAATGAAAGTAACATTAAAGAACAAATGAAACCCGCTAAATTGGCTCTGACAGCTTGACGTCTTAGATAAATTATTAGGATACATACTAGTGTTTAGTTATAGAGTCGGGTAGCAAGACAGGTCACGTTTTGCAGCAAATAATAATATTTAGGACGATACAAAATAATAAAAGTGGATAACATAGTCCTACAATAGATTGCAAGAATACTGATATTCTAATTAAAGTATAAACCATGTTAAGTATAATAAAAATAAGATACTAAATATTCTATGTGTGTCTAACACAACCAGCCCTACTTTAACAATTAACCACTGTCACTTTACAACACACTTGGAGCGTGTAGCAACAAATAATAAATAAAATCATAAGTAATAGTCAAGAGGTAAACGTGATAACATTTGAGAAAGCTCAATAATAATAATAAAACAAAAAAAAAAGGTTACAACAATGGTAAATGTGGCAGTTAATGCAACTAAAAAAACTAATGTAATTTAATTAATGACATAGTGTTATACTATATATTGGAACTGCTTGAACTAACTAATGTAATTTAATTAATGACATAGTGTTATACTATATATTGGAACTGCTTGAACTAACTGGAGGTAATCTAATGGTCGTTACCATACTACAGTGGTTCATCATTACTTTAAACAATTTCTAAGAAATTAAAGTGTAGACGTGTACGTTTTGATAAGGTGGTGGTAATTTGTAAAACGTTTAAGCCCATGATTTGCAGGAAGAATATTATTGAAATTAAAAAAATCAATTAATTTTCAATAAAGTTTAAATCCACACTAATGAAATAATACCAAATATAAATGGAAACTAGTTTCGACATTTTACATGCACTCTTTAGTCCAACGTTTGTTTGTCCAAAACAAACACTGTACTGAAGTCTGAAGAAGACAATATGAAATGTCGAAACTAGTTTCGACATTTTACATGCACTCTTTAGTCCAACGTTTGTTTGTCCAAAACAAACACTGTACTGAAGTCTGAAGAAGACAATATGAAATGTCGAAACTAGTTTCGACATTT